TAGCCGGAGGAGATTATAATAGCAAATATTCCAGGTGGGGTTCACGCCTGGCAACAACCAAAGAGAGAGAACTTCTAAAAATTTTAGAACACAGTAGACATTCATACTTATCAACAGGCACCCCAACGTATTGGCCAACTGACCCACAAAAAATTCCTGACCTACTAGACTTTTACGTTACAAATGGAATCAATTCAACATACACTGACATCGTACCCAATTACGACTTATCATCTGACCACTCTCCAATTATAGCAACAATTGGAACATCAGTAATATACAAGAAACCTCCACCTAAACTACACAACTCTCGAACAAATTGGGATACTTTCCGTAGTATACTACACAACAGCATCGACCTAAAAATTCGACTGAAGACGACAGAAGAAATCGAGTACACTACTGAAACATTCATAAACAAACTACAACAAGCTGCACAACAGTCAACGCCAAAACTTTATACACGGAAAATAAACCAAGACATACTGCTTGAAATTAAAAAACTGATAGCGGAAAAAAGGAAAGCCAGATCAAGATGGCAACGAACCCACACACCAGCTGATAAATTGGCTTGCAACCACACAAGTCACAAATTAAAAAACAAGCTCAGAAAAGTCAGGAGCGAAGAATTTGAGCAATACATAACGAAAGTAAGTAGAACAGATAATTCGATATGGAAACCAATCACGAACTCAAAAAAAAACCTAAAACTCCAATGCCACCAATAAGAAAAAACACCAATGAACCATGAGCAAAAAGTGACGCTGAGAAAGCTAAACTTTTTGCAGAACACTTGGCTTCCGTATTCCAACCAACAGATACAGTAATCGACCAAGAAATAGAAAAAAGTCTATTAAACCCACATATAACACATACAACCATCAAAGCAATTACGCAAAAAGAAATAGCTGATGAAATTAAGCTCCTAAATCCAAAAAAAGTCGCCTGGATTTGATCTGGTAACGGCCAAAATGATGAAAGAATTGCCTAGAAAAGGGACAGTGATGCTAACCTACATATACAACGCTATTCTACGACTAGGATACTGGCCAAAATGTCTCAAAAAGGCACAAATCATCATGATCGGTAAACCTGGAAAAGACCCGACAGATGTCTCGTCGTACAGACCCATCAGTTTACTGCCAGTAACGTCAAAACTTCTTGAAAGACTGCTACTTCGCAGAATAAACGCAAGATTTGCCTCCAAAAAACTGGATACCTGACCACCAGTTTGGGTTTCGCCAGAAACACTCCACCGTGCAACAAGTTCACAGAATTATACAAGCCATAAACAAAACGTTCGGACACAAACAATACTGCAGTGGAGTATTCCTCGACATCAGTCAGACTTCCGACAAGGTCTGGCACCCTGGACTTATCTACAAAGTCAAACATGTATTTCCACCGGCTTACTTCAATCTTCTAAAATCATACTTGAGTAGGAGAACCTTTCAAACCAAAGTAAATGAAGAGAAATCTGACTACTTTCCTATCGGTGCAGGAGTACCACAAGGCAGCGTCCTTGGACCACTGCTGTATGTCCTGTACACGTCAGATCTACCGATGGCACAAAATGTCCTAATAGGGACATTCGCAGACGATACGGCCATCCTTACTAGCCACGCAGATCCTCAAACAGCCTCAACTACTACACAAAACTACTTAAATACTCTCCAACAGTGGTTAACAAAATGGAAAATGAAAGTGAACGAGAATAAATCCGCACACATATCATTCACCCTCCGAAAAGAAATATGCCCAGCAGTCACAATAAACAACATACAGATACCACAAAAGCAAACAGTAAAATATCTAGGCCTACACTTGGATGCTAAACTGACATGGAAACAACATCTCGCAAAAAAGAAAAAACAAATAAACATCAAGACAATGGAGCTACAGTGGTTACTGGGAAGAAATTCACGACTATCTATAGACANTCTCATGGAACAACTCCTGAACCAGTAAACAACAAAAGACTCAAAAAACTGTGGCAAAGTGAACTACTCTTGAGTTAATGTATTGATACTAATTATAGATTATACAGGTGATTTCGCTGGATATCAACCTGTTCATGCCACTAGTCATTAGTATATCTAATGAGTAATCAGCACTTTAGCTTATAGAATTGTGTAATATTCTGATTGCTAAAATCTAAAATAAAATAAAAAAATTTGTAAGCGCTCATTAAGTCATCTGAAAAATTCCTCTAAAATTAGATATTTATCATATTTTTCCTTAAGTACAAGTAGGACAAAAGCAGCGTTTGTTTAACAATGGACGTACAGATAACCACTGAGTGGAGGAGCAAAATTCCACATCATATTTTAATGCAATAATGGATGTTGCTGCGGCTTCTTCCGACGAAGAGGTTGAAAAGCCCGATTTTTACAACGAAGTGTTTGGTGTTTTGACTTGCACAGAAAGACTAAAGTCCAGGTGCAAGTCAACTGTTAAATGTTCGTAAAAATTTAGAAACTGCAGTAATGGGATCAAAAAATCATACGTGAATCATGAAGAGATATACTCAGAAACAAACACATTTCTAAGAATGGAAGCAAAGAATCAATGACCTGGCAGCCCTTTTTGTCAATATATTATTGTAAATTCTTCAATAAAAATATTTCCAAATCAGTGACCGCATTTTAATTTTGCAGTATATTATTGTATATTCTTTAATAGAAATATTTCCAAATTTCTTTATTGCAATGCGAATTTGACCCACTTTACCGGTTTCAGTAGCAAGTGCAGAAAAAAATGTTTTCTAAGTCGAAGCTTATAAAAACCAAACGCGAGTTCCGGGCACGGTTGGACGAGACGAGACAGACGAGGGCCGAGCGGGGAAAGCCATCAACGATCGTCGCGAGGACAGCTCAGCCACCGAAATTCAACGGAAATTCAACGTGGAGCGTGTTCCGGCGGCAATTCGAGACCGTAGAAGAACACAACCAATGGAAGGACAGGGAAAAAATCAACATACTTCATCACCGCTCTGAAGGGCCGGGCGGCAGAAGTGCTACCCGGCATTCCGACAAATACAACTTACGATGAAACACTTCGGGGACTGGAGAACCGTTTCGGGGACCAACACTTTGCAGCTGCTTACCACTGCCAGTTAAGAATAAGGACACAGAAACCTGGTGAACCCTGCAAGACTTTGCCACGGCCATTGAACTGCTTGCCCTTCGTGCCTACCCGAATCTGCCTACAGACCACATAGGAAGAGAAGCAGGAAAAGTGTAGGGACCGAAACCAGCGAAGTATGAGGAATTCGACATGGGAAAAGTGTGGACCCCAGAAGAAGTTGGCCGTAGCCCGCAGAGGAACTAGCCGCCGTGTAGAAGTGGCACGGCAGAAGAAAATCAGCAGGAATGTGTCTCGCTGTGCGACAGTGGCATGGCGCAAGAGTAACATCTTCAAGAAATCTACGACTTAGGAAATTGTGGACCGTGGCACGAATAGGCTGCCGACAGAAACATGACTAGTCGTGCAGGTGCGACACGGCGCAAGGGAGATCCCGTATAGAAATATTCAACCAGGGTCAATGCTGGACAAGAAGCCTGGAAAGGAAGGACAGGAACCATGATAGGACAGAAGTCCGGGAGGAGGCGTCAGCCGCAACGGAAATGCAGCGAAGGCATAAAGAACCAGGACGTGGAGGAACTGCTTATATACGTTAAAAGTCAGTAATGATCGATTCTCTGGTTTAACTTTAGTTTCAATCAAAAATGAACCCAGTCCTTGAACTATTTTGATTTAATCGACGATTTAGCTCATGTGAAAACTCGAAAGGTTAAGGTGTGAAACCATTTTAGTTGCACTTTCATAAATAATCATTAATTTTCGCATTAGTCTACTTCAAATGCAAAATTTTTCGTACTGTATATTACTGTATATACTGTACTGTATATATATAGTGTGACATGTGATCCCTACCTCCCCGGCGGTAACGTAGCGCTTGCGTAATAGGCGAGTCATCACCCCACCACTCTCCCCGCGGTGACGTCACCAAGGGATATCGCGGTCGCTAGGCAACACGGATAAACAGTGATGC